GTCGTGTCCATCCCATCCGTGCTGCTCCTGTAGCGCATCCTGAAAACTGGGGGTTGTCAGTCGGTGCCGTATTTTAATCAGTTGTGCCATTTAACGGCAGAATTTTCACCGCTTCCACGCACGAGGTCTGCCCTCTTTTAACTTGCTGGATGTGAAATTCCTACTAGGGAAATTGATGTTACGATGTTCTGTTTTTTTCCTTTCAGTAACCGGAATGAGTCCTTTGTCTCCGTATTTAAACTTGGACCCCAGGTATTTAGTACAGGTGAGAAGGTGGCTTGTTTTTATTGTGTTGAACTCGAATTCCATTGTTTGTATGGTTATGTGTGAAGGCCTCAAAAATCCTGCAGTGCTGTGCAGTGTGTACTGAAGTCTTGAACTGATGAACAGTTGAAGGGAACAATTTTTTCAGTATTGGTCCTAATTGTCCTGGTTTCATTTGGGACAGAGTTAGTTTTTCTTTTTTAGCAGCTAGATTATCTCTGTGTTTTGATTTTAGTTTGGGGTTTGCATGGCCGGGACAAAGGGCCCACAACTGCCCTTATGATTTGAATTTAGACTTAAGATTGAGGGCCAAACTGGCCAACAGAGTATTCCATACCATGCAACATCATGCCCTGTATATAGATGAGAGTTGGCCGGGAAGAAGCAGCTTTTGCTCTTCTGAGAACTCTCTCTCCCTCATTCTCTTTTCGGGCCTCTCACCCATCCAGGATTGCGGTGTTGGGACTTATCTGTTTCAGCATAGTTTGCTGGGAAGGGACAGGCATTGGTCACCTGGTGGTCAGCAATTACACTATGTGTCACTTGTTTGTATGCATTATTATTGTTACACATATATATTAATGTATTATCATTATGACTTTTAATTTTATATTATTGCTGTTATATAAATTATTCTTATCTCAACCCACGAATCTCCCTCCCTTTTCCCCTTTAATTAGTGTCCTCATTCCCTGGGAGTGAGCAAGTGACTGCGTGGCATTTAGTTGCTGGCTGGGGTGAACTGTGACACTAATAAAAGCTTGCAGTGCTATGAGATCTAGGAGAAGAAAACTATTTTTCATATACAGGATAAGTAAGACTGCTGTGTCAATATAAGCCGGCCACTGTGGAAAAGAGATCTCCCTCCCTACTCTGAGGCATACAGTCCCAGTGCACCCTTGCACAAGTTTGTCACACTCTCCACTGAGCCCCTTCCATCAGTAAGAGCAGCCAGAAACTCTCCACTCTTTTGATGGATTAGTGTTCTGTACTGCCATGAGGTCATTCGATTTACAGAGGTGTTCAACCAAACCTCAGACCTGATACAGGCTTGGTCATTCTATGTGCTGTCATCACAGCAGCAGCAAATTTCACACCACTTTCCTTTTGTCATTTCCTAGCTGAAGGGAGACGATCATGAAGTAAAGCTTTCCATTTTATTCTGCAGAATGCAGTTATGGTACTAACACAGCTTAATAGTAGTTAACATAACATGATGGCCCATAGGCCACTGTAAGGAAAATAAAATAATTTACAATCCTATAATATTTTGCTGTCTCAACAACATTGACTATAGCTGAAAACAGTTTAAGTTAATCCAATAAGGATGCATGTCTTAATGATTTTTTTTATATATATATGGCTTATATTATCTGAGAACATTAAATTTCACAGAAGTAGCGCTGAAGGTCAACAGTTGTATAGTATCTGCTAATCTGTGTGCCTTTCGTTTCATGGTACACTGGGTCAATGCCTCTTTTGTAAGTGGAAAGCTCTGAATGTGATTGTGGAGGCGTTTTTTTATATTCTCCTTCACTAGAAGCCATTACAGTCAAGATTACAATGTAACATTCCCATAATGATAGAAAACAGGGAATGTGACTGTTTGAAGTAGATTCACTAGTGTGATTATCTTGCCTGTTATTGTTGAGTGCTCAAAAAAAATGCTAAGTGATTATATTTAAGACCTCTTCCAAAAATATCATCTAAAGTTGTCTTGTTTAGTGAGTACAGTATATCTGGAAATATGCTGTTGTTAAAAATGGTTTAACAGTTTTTGGAACAGAGTGTGTGTATACTAATAGATTACAAAAAAAAGGTTGCTTTAAAAGTAAAGATATTGGCATTAGTGGCATGAGTAACTTATAAAACAGTTCTAAAAATAGCTCTTGACATAACACTGGAGGCTACAGTTTTGTGTTGTAACACTTCACTGCTCTTATGTTTAGCACTAGCTAGTACATTGAAATAAGAGGGAATTCCATTTATGTGTGAGAAAAAATATTTTTACTTGGACAAGCTGTAGGATCCCCATCCTTGGAGATGCACAGAACCCGGGGTACAGCCCTGAGCAGCCAGTGCTAGCAGACCCTGCAAGGGGGTTGCACTAAACAATCTCCACAGGTCCCTTGCAATCTTAACCGTTCTGTGATTCTAAAAATTAAAGGAAAAAGACATAGCTAATACTTTAAAATACAAGAACTAAAATTACTAGTCTTTTAAATTGGTTTGTCCATGAAGATGTGTGTGGAGGGGTGAGGGTCTCCTGCATTTAAAGACCATCCATTTGCTTTCAGAATGCAGAGAGAAAGTCAGCCTTATTGTTGAGAATCTCACATTTTGATCCTGGCCTTCGCGTAATAACAAATGTTACAGCGATACTCACGACTTGAAAACCCACTTTCTTTGTTAGTCCATTAATGCAGGCACAAACCGAGGTGTTTTCTGCAATGCTTTTGTTACCTTCAGCAGGTAGCCATTATGAAATAGCATGCCAGCCTTTGTCACAAACCTAGAGGATGGGCTTCCTAGGTTGTTGTCTCTGCAGAAACAGAGAGGTTACATACAGACGGTGATTGCTTCATCATTTTGGACAATAGGGAAAACTGTAAGAAACTGCTGACTAGTGGGCACACTGAATTTCTCCAAATATCTAGTTACAGGGAAGATAGAAAACGTATTATAGGTTCAGTTTATCAATAAAGTAGTCACAATTTTAGAAGTTGTATATTTTTGTGTTGCCATCCACATTTAGTGCCAAGTATGGACTAAGAAAACCCCTTGGCTCACCTTGTCTCTCCTCATATGCTAGTTTATCAGCCCATTTCTCTGACTTTTTACACCAATCCAATTTACAAGAACACAAGCCTGTCCCTGCAGGAGAAAGACACACAAGTGAAGAAAATACCAACCTCGCATATTTCATGCCTGATCATCACTAGTTTTGAATGAACTCCTTGCCTTTTTCATGTGTTCAAAATAGGTCAGTTATTTCAGTGGAAAGGAATAACTTCTTTCAGTACAAAGGCAGTTGTTCTTTAGTGTTAGTGTAGTAGGAAAACTTAATGCATTACTGTGTCAGTATAGGTTGCTCGGTAAGGAAACAGTGCAGCAAAATCAGACAATAGGAAGGTTTTTAGAGGGCATTAAGTCTTGTATTGCCTCCGCAAAATATAATAAATAGTAAAGCAAATAGTCATTTTAAAAATAAGAAACAAACTAACAACCCACATAATGAGTTCCTTAGCTGCCTGATGAAGTTTATTAAAAATTAGAACAGCTAGGGAAAAGAAAAAGCTCTCAGTTTATCTTTTTAAAGTCGTTTTTTCATCCTTATTCAAGTATGCATATAGTATATTCCATCTCTGTGCTAGTGTAAACAATAGTTTTCCAGAAACACTGGTTGTATCCGTTTTTAATTTAGTTCATTATATGGATTAAAGAAAAAAAATCTTAATATGACCTACATTTTGAAGCAGGTACACTTGGCAAATACAAAGGTGTGTGTTTGTTTTGTTTTGTTTTCCCTCAGGATACAGATGAGTTTATCTTGCCGACAGGAGCCAACAAAACTCGAGGCAGATTTGAGCTGGCCTTTTTTACCATTGGAGGATGTTGTATGACAGGTAGGTGGCTATCTTCTTCACTTTTCCCAGCTCTCCAGGTAACACCTATGGACTACAGTAATTGACAAGATTGTTAATGTCTCGTTCTGCAATCTAGCCTTACATAAACAGCTGTTTGACTTCAGTCCATGTGCTGAAGTCTATTCTCAGTATTCACTGCTAGTATTGTTCTTTTGTTCCTTTTTCTTCTTAAAAAGTAGTAACTGATATTGTGCTAACTAGGGGCAGCATTTGGTGCGCTGAACGGTTTGCGACTTGGCTTGAAGGAAACGCAGAATATGGCGTGGTCAAAACCTAGAAATGTACAGTAAGTGTTTAATCTCAAAAAAAAAAAAGACCTTGGGGACAGAGTTGTTTCTTCCAGCTTGTACAGAGTTATATCTGAATACACTGCAAAAACAAATATAATTTTGTGGGGAAAAATAAGAGTTAGTGTTCATCAAGCTATGAAATGTTTTGAATTATAATGATATTTAGTTCAAGCTTTTTGCTTTTCATTTAGTGACAACCGGTATGTCCTCTGACTTACCTTAAATTTTTGAGAATAAATTACTACTTTGATATTTACTGGAAATCTACTTCAAAGTCAAAACAGTGTTTTTATGTGTTGAAGTATTCCCAGAAGAACAATTTGGTTTGAGCTATTTTTTGCTGTGAGTTCTCTCATTCCCAAACGTTCTAAAACCAGGAAGAGGTTAAAATACAGAAGCTGGGCCTGCCTGAATTTGCATTAGGGAAGACATAGGTGCGTGTTGCTGAGCAAGTGTTGCATGGTGGAAGATGTTCTGGATTACAGCATCCACAAACACCCATGGCATTTCCATGTTTTCACCTTACCCAATTGTTCGAAAGAATGCAGTAAAGATAGGAACATATTTTTTTTTCCTGCAGTATGCTTCTCCTACTAGAATTATTGGTAGTTTAGACATAACTAAAAAAACTTAAGCATCTGTGAAGAAGACATAGGAGAGTAAAGGAGTGAAATAACTGAGGGAAACCATTCTCAATTGCACATTACTTTGGAAAAAGGGAATTTTAGAGGAGGAATTTAATATTTCCTAGTACAGTTGGTACTGGCTCTGCTTCTTTCTTCATCCCCTTCTTTACGATCTCTAGAATTAGAGATAGAACCAAATTCCCCACTATAACTATGACTCTTCCATAAAGTTCTAGATGAACAAAATTGTATTTTATGTGCTTGGAACGAGCAGAATCAGACAAAAACACGTTAAGTGCAACCTTTGATGGGTCAAGGCCAGCAGGTGGCAGTCGATGTGCATGCTGCTGTTAGGCCTTGCCCTTCAAGGGAAAAGGCCTGTTGAAGGTCATCACCTTGAAACGCTGTATTAAGTACCTTCCATGTTTTCCTAATCAGATGCAGGAAAGAGCCTTGCCTAGCTAGGTTTCCTTCAAATTTATCCTAAATGTACATGAGTTTTAATTTTTTTTAATGAATTTGAATATTGCTGTTAATCCTGTGTCATCAAATATCTCACAGTATGTCACGGTTATTAAAACTATGAATTTTCTCATCAATTCAGAATTGATGCAATGTTAACAAAATGGGATGGGGGTTGTAATTAGGGGGAGGTTGTCAATACCCTAGTCTCTTGGATTTATTTCTCTTGTTTCAAAATGAAGTTTTCTGTTATTGTTTAGTTCGTTACCTAACCTGTTAGTAACAGCCTGTGTCTTTTAATGGAAATTATAGAAAAGGAAAAGCAGTAGAAAATGAACTCAAATCAGAAGGAGCATAATGTGTGACACTCATTGCTTTAAATGATAAACTAAGTTCCAGTGGTAGTCAGCTGTCCAGGGCAGTACTGTGCCTGTGATAGTGTTACACTGCTGGGAGAGAAAGATCGGTCGTTTCTTCTGGCTGCTGTTGTCACCGTTCTGGAGACAGCTGATGCCAAAAAGAAGTGGCATTGTGCTTCCCTGAGAGTGCGCTAAAGATTTGCTTTCCCTCTTTAGTGCTAGTCTGGAAGCATACATACAGAAATACTCAGGATGCTTCACCTTGTGTTGGGTGCTATGTCTGACAAATGGAAGTGCAAAAGATTTGCTCTTCCTGACTTGCTTTGGTTCAGACTTGCTTTTAATACTCACCTCATTTTTTCAAGCATCACCATGCTTCCTGACACGTGGTCCCTGTAGTGCTTGCACTTTCTAGAAGAGCACTCTAGCTTTCTTGGAGCTCTTTTACCCAGTTAAGTCAGCATAAGTGTATCAGTCATTCTCAGTGACTACATGTAGTCACCACATCAGGAATATTTATCAACTAGGGTTAGAAAGTCATTTGAAGGGAAAAGAGATTGGATTCTTGGTAAGTTTGACTTGAAAAAAGAGAAATATTTTCTTAAGACTTGACAGGACTGAATATTTACCTTCAGTACTGCATGCATTACTATTTGTAGTATGTGTGGTAGAGGAGATGATGTATTACCAAGCTGTGTGCTTTTTCTTACTGTTTTGTTTTAAAAGGCTTTTGCTTCATTATTTGAGTTTTAATAATCAAATGTATAGTGTAAACACATTACATGTACTGTCACAAACACTGTCTCAATGTAAACACAGAGAGCTAAATTTTTTAATACCTTTTTAACTCCTTTATAGAATTCTAAATATGGTGACAAGGCAAGGAGCGTTATGGGCTAACACTCTGGGATCTCTGGGTAAGTTAAATTGTTTTCCTTACAAAATAACAAGCGTAAGATGTAACTGTTTGATGAGCAAGTATATTCTTTAAATACGTATTATGAAATCCATCAAGAGAAATTGCAGGGTTTTTTCTTTGGGACATGAGGGCATTTCAGTAGACATCGAAAAGGAAATTAATGGCTAAAATAAGATTTGAGTAAGGATTTTGATAATTAGCCGAAAGCCAGTACTTAAAACCCGAAATTTATATTACAAACAAGAACTCTAGCTGTGGAATATCAGGAATAACTGAAAATTTTAGGTGATGCTGACTTGTTAATAAATTCCAGTTAATTCACAACTTAAGGCAAAAAATATAATTGAATACTTCTGAAATAACTTTGATAACCTAAGAAGACACTCAGTGGTCATGTGGGCAACTGCCTGATATCTGTTTCCAGTTAAAGTCAACAAAATGTTTATCCATAGAAGAAATGGGATAGTGACTACAAAGATTCATCCTTTTATGATGGTAGCTTAGCTAGAAAAAAGTCACATATGATACCACCCGCTTGAAATCTAAACATTGCTTATAACTAATATGAGTTATAATAAAGAGAAAAGAAAATGATCAAAAATCTGATGTGTGAGAATGACACTTCTGTGAACTGAAGTTTGGGGCGAGAAGGGGGGCAGAAAATCTAATCACATCATTTTCCTCAGAAAAACAACTTCAGATGATTTCATAAAAGTCAGTGGAATAACTAAGGCCCTAGAGAATACAAGCTCTTTGGCTTCTTTCCCTCCAGTCTTAAAAGAACAAAGTGTGCTCAGTTATTTTGAAAGGAGACATGTAAAACTGATGAACCTATTTTGAAAATTAATGATGGACCTCATTGCTCCACAAAGTGGTAGTAGAAATTAACAATATTAAAATGGGGATTACATCATGTTATATTACCCAGTCTACATAAATTTAAATTTTGAAAAATGCAAAGCATAGTTGTGTTTCTTACATTTTGTTTCAGTCTTGTTCTTAAAGAGTAGATTGGCTTGCCATTTAACTCAGGCATTAACTTTTGAGACATAATATAGAGGCCATGGTTAGAAATGGAATTCTGAACTACACTGCGAATGCCACTTTTCATCAGAAAGGCATATAACCTTTCTGAGTTTTATGGTGGGATGTTGGATTTTTTGTTTAGGTTTTTTGCTTTTCTTATTTTCTATTCCAAGTCTAATGAAAGCATGTCTGAAAACTGAAATCCAGGCACACTGCAGTTCAAAGTTCCAGGTTAAGTGACACATTAACAGTTTTCTCAGCTGTGTTTGAAGAAAGATTACTGAAGAAAATATTTGTGCATTCCAGTAACAAATTGTTATTTTTCTTATAAAATGTGACCTCCCAAGTAAGAGTTAAGCAGAACTTGATATTTTGGGATTTGGTGTAACTCTGCCTTGTCCTAGCTACCAGAGAAGTTCCTTTCAAGGACCTGAAGTATTTTTGCACCTTATTTCACTTGTGCAACATTTGTGTACCTCAAAGATTCCTTTTGTCACTACTGACAATTTTTTGGTCATTTTGTTCTTGAACAGAGGTAGCAACATCTTTGTTAAATTGTTTTGAAAAAAGTTGTTGAATTCAGCTTTTCCTTCCCCTCCGTGTTAATACTAGACACTACTGAGACAAGGTAGAATACCATTGCCTGCACTGAATGGAGAAAAATGCTACTGTTCAACTCATTGACATTAATATGGTTGCTTATGAAGGATTTACATGCTTTTTAGCAGAAGTAAAGATTTCAGATTCTGGGAGGACAAAGGATGAATTGAAGCGACATGGTGTCTTTATCGCTTTCAAATGATGACATACTCCTCTACTGTTCCATGTCAGTGTGAAATATGTTGCTATCATGAGGGGTGATGCCTTCTCCCTTCATCAAAAGGCAAAGATTATGTATGCATTCATACTAAAAGTCCATGCATTTCTCTTTCTAATTCTTCCCAGGACAGTCCCCAAAGTTGTCCCAAAGCAAAAGACCCTTTGGAGGACAAAGTTCACATAAGCAGACAGAGGTGAAGCAGCTGTAAATGTCAAATCCCAAGCAATCTAATAGTAATTTTTAAAGGAAACATAGGCTATTGACTCCAGTCCTGAATGCTACACTTCACAACTTGCATTTCCTCTCAGTCGCACATGGGCAACAATTTGTTCTGTTACCTAGAAAGCATTTTTGATTTTAGTTTCATGTCATCTGCAGAAAGCAGTATAAAGCCTGCCAGTACAAAGTTAAACCTTCAGAAGCTTTTTAAACAAATTTGAACTAGCAAAACAGGCTTAAACTTCAGTCAGTGCTTTATATCACATTTATCACATCTTCAGGCAGTAGTAGATGTCATGAAGGATGCTACTTTATAACCAAACTATAGCAAGAAAAATTATGTGTAAAATAGAAATAAGTCTGGAAAAAACCAGCAAAGACAGGGTTTGGCAAAGTATTCCTCCCCTTAAAATAAACAGAAAGTCTATACTTCAGAAGCATAGTCTAAAACGCTAAGCCTTGTGCCTCAGAGAATGGGAGTTTTAACTTAATTTTTTTAATACATTTTTCTTTCCCAGCTCTGCTTTACAGTGCATTCGGAGTCATCATTGAAAAAACACGAGGTGCAGAAGATGACCTGAACACCATAGCTGCTGGAACCTTGACAGGAATGCTGTACAAAAGCACTGGTAGAGTAGCAAGCATTTCTAGTTTTCCTCTTCCTTGTGCTTTGTCCTAGTTACTAGGATTCTCATTACTTTTACTAAATACTGTCTTACTCTTAAAATTGGCAGTGTAAAAATGGTACACTAGGAACATAGAACTAGAATGTAGTTTTTTTGCAGCTCCAGGTACATGAATCACTTGTAGTAAGTTGCATCTTGATGCATTCAAGCTGTGCTCTGTGTATTCCTCTCCTCTTCTCCCCTCTCCTGTCCCCTTTCACTTTGAAAGATAGTTCCCGTTTGCCTGCATCCACTCATGGACTTAAGAAACTGTTGGTTTTAGTCCTGCTATACTTGAAAAACATGGCTAAGAATGAGCTGAGTATGTATTTTACACATTCTCAATATAAATCTGAGTAAACATCTGAGTGTTTATTCAGTATATGTGTATAACAGACATAATTTGGCTTCCAAGATTATTGTTAGTTCTGTGCAAGTTGAAAAGAATCCAATTTAATTCAGCTGGATTTTTTTTTTAAAGTGCAAGTTTTCCTTAAGTAATCTTAGCTGTTTGAAAGACAATGTGTGGATTAGGGGATATTGAACTAATAGGTCTTAGTTACCTGTTAGATGCAGTGCAGTTAAGTGTCTTTTTTCAGTTAATTGAAATAATTTTTTAATGCCAAAAAAAAAAGCTTAAATTGATGCTCTCTACTTCTGAGGTTAAGCAACAGTAACTAGAAATACTAAAATGAGATTGCTTTCTCTTAGCGTACATGAAACAGTGGTATTCATCCAGTACAATCCTAAATCAAGTGCAAGACAAAATTACTTTCCAAATAAAGGTTAATAAAAAATTCACTCCCAAGAAAGTGAAGATCAGGAATTTAAAATTAACATGGATTATTTTTTTTTCTCCTTAAGACAAAAATTTTGGTCAACCTGTTTTACAAATTCACGTCATTAAATATAGCAGTTTCTTCCTGCATACTTTATAAAATTATTTCTTGTTTGTGAAACTGTTGTCTTATGGTAGGACTCTAGTCTTTGCATAGTGGTCAAAACCAACAAACAACGTTATTTGAGAACAGCATGGATTTAAGGTTAGTTTGCTGATGCATACTGAATTGTTTGCAGAAGAGAGGGTCTAAGCTTCATCAGCAAAACACCTGTTAACCCATATTGCAAGCTCAACAATTGGAGGGATCATCTTTTTTTAGATGACTGCTGCGTATCACAGATTGACATTACCACAGGAAAAAAGTATAAGGTTTAACTACCTTGATAAAGGCTCACCTGTATGATTCACTTGTTATTTACTGAGGAGATAATTCCATAATTAACCTATGTACTTTTGCATGTCTAACTGAGCCTCAGGTCTTGGAAGTGTTCCTGAAGGCCAGCTTTATACGGGGCAAAACCGACATTTGAGATGTCTTGTTTTTCTATTGGCCTAGACTAACTGAAACCAGAAATAATTGGCTTGATCTGCCTTCATAAATACTAGCTTGCACACTTAAGCTTGCAAGAGCACATAGCTCCTGTGTATTCAGTTACTTATTTTGGATTTCATGAGTACTATGCTGGATCACCAACAACAGCCGGATAGGGTAGCAGTATAGAAGTCTAACATTTTCCATAGGAAGTTACTAAGAAGGAGAACTGCCATCTTACACTCCAGCAGAAGCTTTCCCCTTACCTTTCAGAAGTATAGAGCTGGCATTGTGTGTAATCTTTTTTTGGCACAGTGCAGCCACGGATAACTGCTCCAGTCACGTGCAGTCATCTGACACTACAAAAATTACTCTTACAAAAGCACAGTGGGACTTTTGTTTTGTAACATAAGATCTATTGAGCCAATAGTAGCACTGATAAAGGTAAATGTAGTCAATTAGTCTGTGTTCGTTACAGTATTGTATTTCAAGTATGTGTCGTGAATTTGAACTGTAGTGCACAGAAACTCAAAAGAAATAGATTTTTCACCATAGGCAGAAGTAGACCTTAAGGGTCAAGGATTAATTCTGGAAGTGAAAACAGTGATATTCACATCTGTGTGAAGAATTTAATTCCAATCTTATTTTCCATTTTTTCTTTCATGCTCAGTCCCTCTTGCTGGTTCTCCCATGCTTCCTCTCCTGTCACCTTATGCCAAAATGCCCTTCCTAATTCTGTATGGTAAAGCTTCCCATAACATTATGCCTTTACCCAGCATCAATATGTATTTACCTAAGAAACCTTGAATATTTAAGCCATAGACAAATGTTCAGTTCACATCTGTGACGTATATCAAGACTGGAATCATTTCCTGCGTTACATGGAGTGCCATATTGTGTTGGCATTAAAAAATTTGGAGACTGTCAGGGACATTTCAGTTATAAATCCCCATATTTTAGTGTCAGCTGGAAACTCCCACAAACACACCATTTCAAATCAAGGCTGTTCTGTAATCCACAAAGGGTGGGTACAGAGTTGGAGGAAGTGCTGTTCAAATGCTCAGATTTCCCACTTCCATCATTCCTATTTTGTAAAGAGATCAGGAACGTATCTAAGAAGAAACTGTATAAAGTAAGGCAAGTATTGTATTATGACTTTCTGGTTCATGTTTAAACATAGCACTGATAGAAGAATCACATCAGCAACCCTGCTGCATTGAACACACTCGTGTGCTTTACAAAGCCTAGACTGAATTTCTGAAACAAATGATTAAGCCTTTGCTGAAGGGGATAAGTACACAGGGGAAAAAAAAAATAGCAGGAAGACTTTTTGAAGGCTGAGATTTCTTGCCCTGAACTGGTCCTAGTTTTCACAATTTGTCCTTGTAGAGGTATTAATCATTACCAAAACGCCAGCAGTCGAACAAAAAAGGCTTTCCAAAACATCCACGTTCTAAAGCCGTTCAATGGTGAGCAGTTTTGTGCAAGGCTACTTAACACACAGCTTGCGTGTGAGAAGATAAAAGAGCATTAGAAAGTCTGCAAGTGAGGACTGTGGAAGCTCAGCCCTCCTGTGTTCACTGGAAGTGGCGTTAGTCACTGAAAGTTCCCCATTGCAAGCCACTAAAGCAGTGAAGTCCCCAAGACTTCTGATGGTCCGCCTTGGAGTGAGTCAGACACTGTTAACTTGCCGTTATAAATCAAGTGTTAGCTGGAATCCACCTCGGCATAGGTTACAGATGTTGAATTGAGGTTGAAAATAAAACTGATTTGAGGAGCTTTGAAACAGCATACTAGTTGCTCCCTTTGACCAACATGATCTTTAACTTTCATGATTATTTGAATTGAAATTTAATATCCAAGATTACTTACTAGATTTTAGCCCAAACGTAGCACTGTGAGTACAGTATTAACTTGTTACACTAGGCTTGCAACTTTCTGGAAGCTGTGTTTTGACCTCACAACTTTAACTGAATGTTCTGGGTAGAAGTTGAGCGATGGATGAAAGAAAACCTTTTGTGTTCCTTTGCCAGTAGCATACGTAGTAGAAATGTTGCAATTTGGTCAATCCTGTTTGAGTTCTGCTAAAAGAGAGTCTGATATCCTAAGTCCACAAGGATGGCTTTTCCATTTAGTAAGATATTATTCTTTATTCTTCAATTTCAAGCAAAGGTAGAAATTAAGAACTGTTTTGCCAAGTTTTTTTCTGATAAATATTACAAAGCACAAATACTAACATATCTTAAAACAAACATTTAGCCCTCTTGCACGTTTTCAACCTCTTTTCTAAATCAAACATTTTGACTGTTTTTTTCCATAATTGTATTAGTCTCTGAAAGTAGCAAAAATCAAAAAATTATTGTCACTGTGCACTATGTCACTATTATTCCCTCCCACCATGAAAATGCACATGGTTCCAGTGATCATGTCACAAAGGATCTTACACTCCTCCCCAAGCATGCAGGATTGATCACGCAGAAAAAAGATATGAGCTAGGTGGGACTTTGGTCTGACCCAGCCTGACAGCCATTAATTTCTCATTGAAATTCCTGACAGAGACTTCAGTAAGCAAAAAAAGTTAAATAACCTTTACTTCTTATCTGAGGGTTACACAGGTCATAAATGTTCTTTTTCTTGGATAATTTTTTCTCCCCTCTTGAAGTTAGGAAAAACAGTAGCAAAAATAAAGTAATGCTTTGGGCAAACTAAATAGTTCACTGTACTTCTGTGCAGTAGGAGCCCAGCAGTAGATAGAGCATCTCATGCCTTTTGCACAATAGAAGTTACATAATTTGGTATAAAATGGTGCCTCTGAAAAAGAAGGGGATTGCATACTAGCCATAGCTGAAGGGAGCTTCAGTAGTTGTCGTTTTAAGACCTCAAAATACAACCCTGAAAGGTCAGTACTTTATGAATTCATTAAGAAGGTCTAACTGCTTTATTGCTAGCAGTAAAGTCTAGCCAGAGCTAAAGATAAGTTTTGTGACACTTAGTGGGTAGGAGTTCAGGGCAGTTGTGTTAGCTAACTACTTCTTGAGCTACAAAAGCTTCTTCCCTTTGGGTTCAATCTGTGTTTTCCTTTGAGCCAGAGAGGGTTGTGGTTTTTTTTCGTCTTGTTTCTGTTTGGTGGGGAGGGGGAAGGAGGAGCTTTTTACAGACTGCTGCAGGTATGGCTCTGGGATATCTTATTTTTCTGCATTATTTGGAGAAAAGCTAGTGAAGGATTTGCTTCTGAACTTTGAAGTTCAGGGCTGTCAGGTGTTTTAGAAATTAAGAACTTCTGTTAAAACCTGCTTTTAGCAGGTCTAAGGGACAAGTCTATGGGACTATTAATCAAATGGCATTCAGTGAAAGGATTTTGTTTCAGGTCTGAAATAAGGAAGAGATTAGGGCAAAGTACAAACAGGTGCTACAGGTAATAGCTGGTTGAGGCTTTCTTTGATATTTGAGGGCTAATGTCTAAGTACACGTGTTGCCACTGAGAGCAGTGCTGCCTTCTGCCCAGCTCTGCTAATCAGCAGCAGTGAACAAAGTTCTCAGTGCTGCAGAGATTTGCAGGATTCTTGCAGCCATTTGCAGCTGAAGTAGTCTCCTGTCAGTCAGGTGCTGCTGCTTTCACTCAGTGAGAAAACAGGGAGTTTTAATAAAGTTTGTAAAGCAATTGCAACAGCTTTAATACTTCTAAACTTATAAATTAAATTGTAAATTCTTACTGTTTTTCTAATTTAGCCTTCCCACCACAGTAACTACAGGAAATTTTCTGTTTCAAGCTCTGTTATTTCTGTATTTTAACCACAATACTGTCTTAGCTGCAGCAGTATGAAAGTGGAACATGCTTTTCTGGAATGTATCTTGTTGCCAAAAAGAAGTTTTATCAGTTTCCTTAGTAATTTCTGTACCCACAAACTTTGCCAACACTTACAGGATTTCATAAAATGACTCTTGTGGAGCAGCAGGAGGAAACTGTTCGAATTTTCTGCTGACATAGGACCACTCACAGACGTTCAAACAAATGTCTGCCTGATGGTTCAGAGGGTCTGGTTAGCTACCACTGCGCTTGAATTTGCAGCAAAACTGAGATTGCCTTGTACATTTGAAAAGTCAAGCTCTTTAAACCATTTAAAAATATTTCTGTTCCTGGAAGCCCTGAAGAAACTTTGCATTCTGAATATCTAAGAGAGAGAGAACTGGAAGACAGAAAACTGATCACAACTCAACTATTACACTTCTTTTGTTTGGCATAAACGCATGGTGGGTCTGGGTTTTCAGTTAAGATATTTCTAATGTTTGCTGTTGGATGGTTCTTACTTTAAGTATCCTAGGAACTATCCCAGGATAGTGGAGTGACATTCTGAAAATAGAGACAGTAAGGTCCTAAATGGAAGATTTTCCCCTCATGTTACACAGTACAGATAATGGTTTTACCTACTATACAAGTCAAATTCAGTGTTAGGAGTGGATCATGCCATGAAGAAACATAAAGGTGCGCTATTAGAATGCCTTGCGTCATTGCGTAGTGTACTCTGAAAGCTATTTTAGATGCGTAGAAGAGGGACAGTACTCTATGGTGAACGGGTGCAGCCACTAAAGCCAGGTAACTAAATTCTCATTTAGAGAGCATCAGATTTATCTCTGGAAACCTGTAGCAGTTCTCAACTATTGTACAAGTTGCCCGATCTCAAAACACCTGCTTTCAGAAATGTT